GGGGTCGGGGGTGCAAGAATGGCTCAGGCCAGCCCTGGTCACTAGGCAGGTGCACACAAATGCCCCGGCAGGCGCCATGGCGCCCGCGGGCACTGCATTGGGGACCACTGCCCTAAGTGAATAGAATATTTTTTATTTAGCCAATTTTAGGGCCTATTTAAAAACTGAGTAATTTTCTCTGGCTCAATGGTATTAAGGGGGGAGGGATAGCAAAATGCTCACATTAGCCTGCTAAACCCAGGATTATGAGTTCAATCCTTGAGGGGGCTAGTTAGGGATCTGTGATAAATATGTCAGGGATGGTTCTTGGTCCTCTTGTGAAGGCAGGGAATTGGACTCAATGGCCTTTCAAGGTCCCTTCCAGTTCTATGAGATAGGTATCTCTCCATATATTAAAGTAAAAGACAACATGAACTTGAATATACTCTTGGAGGATAAAAACCCTTTGTCCTGTTCTATCCTTATTAGGAAAGGGAACAAATAATAAGCATTTCAATTAAGTTACATATAAAGGTAGACTTTCTTCCTCAGATTTATAATTCTTTAGAATTAGTTTATTTTTTATCTATATCTTTGTAGAGTTTCTGTTCAACAGCAGGCCTCAGACATATTTGTTGTCGGAGAAGATTTATCACATAAATATTGTACTTTTTAATTATTTCTCAAAGAAATAAACTACTTATCCCATTAATATGACTTAGTTAACGTTGCTATTGTTGTCACTTGCAACAAAATGTGTGGTAAATTACCTTAGTCAGATTATATACTATACGGGCTCGTCTACATTGGCCCCTTTTCCGGAAGGGGCATGCTAATTTTTCAGATCGTAATAGGGAAATCCGCGGGGGATTTAAATATCCCCGCGGCATTTAAATAAAAATGTCCGCCGCTTTTTTCCGGCTTTTAGAAAAGCCGGAAAAGAGCATCTACACTGGCCCCGATCCGGCCCGATCCTCCGGAAAAAAGCCCTTTTCCGGAGGATCTCTTATTCCTACTTTGAAGTAGGAATAAGAGATCCTTCAAAGTAGGAATAAGAGATCCTCCGGAAAAGGGCTTTTTTCCAGAGGATCGGGCCGGATCGGGGCCAGTGTAGACGCTCTTTTCCAGCTTTTCTAAAAGCCGGAAAAAAGCGGCGGACATTTTTATTTAAATGCCGCGGGGATATTTAAATCCCCCGCGGATTTCCCTATTACGATCTGAAAAATTAGCATGCCCCTTCCGGAAAAGAGGCCAATGTAGACGAGCCCTACCTGTGATGCAGTTTTCCTTAAAAAAAAACTTTACAAAATCTCTAATTCTTCATATGAAATAAAAGAACAATAACCTTCTAAATGAATCTGGCTTTAGTCTTTCTCCAACATTACAGATAACTTATCACAAGACTTCCATCCCTAATTCTGTTACTATTGCCTTTGGCTACTAAGCATTTTCTTGCATCACTGTAGCTCAAGTACAAATGTCTCTGATGTAAACAGGCCCTTAAATTGGCAGTGAAGACACAAAAACTTAAAGCCTGCTCCTCAGTACATTGTACATGATTGGAAAAACGGGATTTTACCGCTGACTTCAGTGAAGTCAGGATTTTATCCTGTCAGAACAGAGTGAAATTGTTCAGATGAAACTTTTTTTGGTGAAAAAATCAGACCTAGGTTGACTGAAAGATTTCATGAATTCATGTTGATTTAACTGAATTGCTTCAGTTAAAAACATTTTAAATGGTAAAATAAGATTATAAAAAAAATCAAAGCAATGATAATTTTTTGTTTCTTAATTTCTGTCAGGGGTTTTTAAGTTAAAACTCACACTCAAAAGATCAAACAAACATTTCATTTGATCTGAAACAAAAATGTTCTTGTCATTTTGATTTGTTGTAAATGTTGAAATGTTTTCCTGTTGAGTCAAACCAAAATGATTTTTGTGTGTGTGTGTGTGTGTGTGTGTGTGTGTGTGTGAGAGAGAGAGAGAGAGAGAGAGAGGGGCAGAGGGAGGGGGAAGGGTAGTACAGTAATTGGTAGGTTGCCAACAAATCACAAAAAAATCAGGTATTTGCACAGTGAATACTACACAGTGACCTAAACCTACACTATGCCACATTGGTCTACATAAGTGCAAAACTCTCTAATGTTGGCAGATTATAAGAATGATGATTTAAGTGCCCAGAAAAGAAGTTATTTGTGAAGGATGGTAATGAATACTATCAGCTATTCTATGACACTGATGTATGAAAGAGGATACAGAGGGAGCAAATTAATTATAAAGTACAAAATAGTAACTGAAGCAGCAGCATGAACAAAATAAATGTACTGCTGGTTGACAGACTTCTTAGACTAATGAAATGCCTGTAAAGTAATTACTCAGGCTATATCTGGACTGGAGAATTTTTCTGGAGGTATCCCAGAAAAGCTATGCCGTGTCCAAGGAATATCTGCTTTTTTGGAACAGTTTCGATGGGATGTTCCAAAAGAGGACTTTTTTTCTGAAATTTGGCCCCGTGTAGACAGGGCCAAATTTTGGAAAAGCCTCTTTCAGAAAAAAAGCAGAAAAAGATACGCAAATTGAGGCTCACAATTTGTGTATCTTTTTCC